ATATATATATATATATATATATATATCTCTGCGAGGTAAACCGCTTCACTCTCATCTATGCGGGAAGAAAAATAATCGTGGGACTGTGCAAACCTGTGTCAAAGCATCTTCCTTCCAACCAACACAGAAGAAACTAGATTAAAAAAACTGGTAGGGACAGTGGCAAATCAATAACTACATATCAACAAGATACATGTACAAGTAAAAGAAATATCATCGTGAGAAAGAAACTGACGTTGAAGCGAACTGGCGTTTCTTTCCTACGATATGGGAGGCATGAAAATTATCATCAGAAGCAAGTTAGTTATTGAAACAAACCATATACAGAGGTAACATAGCAAGAATCAAATTGGTGACACTCAGTGCCACGAAAGGTCACGCAAGAGATACACATGTATGTAAGTCGGAGAAACTATTGGCGTTGCTTTGAAGAGGTTGATTACATGGATTCCGAAAATGTGACACGATGCCACTTGAAAACTCGATGCCAGCGGTTTTTGAAATAACCATGGATGATTTGATTCACACGTACGTATCATATGTTGTGTCGACGTGCGTGGACTCGATCGACGATTTAATTTAATTTAATTAACTTGGGTTAGGTTAGTTGTACGAGTTGGCACGATCGACATTGACTTGGACTTGTCGACTATCGCAACGCTGTCGTCGTGAACGTCGTGAGAGTAGAAACAAAGGTGTTTTCGTTTCGATGGGCCCGCATTTACCGAGTCAGGGCTACATTTCGTATAAATCGATCGATCGATCGTTATTTCGAAAACCACGCTCGCGGCAATGACCGATCGTCTGCGAGCCTGTTTACATTGCGAAGCGAGTTATTTCGTGATCGACCTAACCTCAATATAGGTTAAAAGCGCAGAGGAAAGTTTCGTTGAGTAAGCAATCAAGTCGAAATCTAAGTAAGTTCTTTTAACCTTGAATTGCAGGTTGCGACGAGCGTGCAGGTTTGTAACGAGAACGATCGGAAAAGATCGATTCGCAAGGTAAACAGGATCCGCTAGATTGACGGAGATTGACTTGGCGAGCGGGATAGAGAGAGATAGAGAAAGAAAGAGAGAGAAGGCATCGTGTTTTCTAGAGGCCGGACGATCGCAGCGACGACGTGGGTTCGCTGGTTTCACGATCGTGGGCTCTTGTAATAGCGCAAATTCCAGCGCTTACCTTTCTTGATGAGCAAGCTAGTGACCCTCCGTAGCGCCTCGCGAGTGCTGGAGGCGGAGCTGTGCTTACTTTGGCCGAAGTATTTGTTCGGTGTGATGTTTGTCGGCAGAGTCAGCGGTTTCCTTTGGTCCCCGGAGCCCGCCAGCCGTGGATCGTACGCGTTGTTCAGCCGCTCGAGATGCTCGATCGAGGCTGGCCGCGGTTGATTCGCCTTCCTCGTCGGGTACCATCCGCGATTCGGACCACCGGCTAATCGCAACAACTCCGTCCCGATTATTGCCTGTTCCAGACCCGGGTTATTCCTGCGATACCTGTTTCAACATCAAACATTTCTCTCTTTTTCCATATCGGCTGATATACTTTTCTTTTCATACAGACAGTTTCCTTCTATCTACAGTACAGGATTCGTGCTCGCTCGAGCCCTATACGTGTGTACGTATACTATGTGCTTGTATTGATATATACTCTATGTGTATTTCTTATTATCGGTAT